GCAACGCTAAGCCTGAGTGCAAAGCGGATGTCACGCCTAGCAACTGACACAGATCATTTAGGTCAATCAGTGTTGTGATGATTTTTACAAGCATTAAAAAGGGAATAAACTGCAGGGGACAGAGAGGTTAATGTGTCCCGTGAATTTTTGTGTAAACCAACATACAATTAGAAAATGATTACACGCTCTTCTGTTGTTGTGTTATCTATTATAGTCTTAGTGTTCCATTCAGGGAATAGTTGGCAAATACCACTGACAAAGAGGCCTCTGCGTTCTCCCATGAAAATTATGTTGATGATGATAATACAAATAATTGACTCACATAAGCTATAGAGAAAAAGTGGCAGATGTACTAGGTCATGAAAATGACTTAATAACAAGCCATAGATGTGTGGCACATTAGGAATGGACCACTCTTTTAATTATTTCCTCGTGCAGCAAGGGAGTAAAGTGTGGTTTTGTGAAAGTCCTTATGTGCTGTGCAGTGCATCAATGCACGTGTGTACACCAGCGTGTGATAACTGAGTTGGGCCTGTAGGTGGCTGGCAGGGTTATTGATTAACCGGACTTGTACACCAGTCACGTGGTTAATGGCGACTCGTTTGAGGATTGCTGCGTGTGACACACGTGCTGTTGCATTTTGCAGGTAAAGGACCCATAGGTTGTTTTTGATCGTTATAGAAATGTTCTAGACTTGACTTCAAGCTTGGCTTTGAATTGTTATTTTGTGATATATTTAATAGGAGGGGTTTTAGTATTGTGCACTGTAAAGGATGACGTACTGTAGTTAATAATTGTAATTCTCTAATCTTAATACTGTTTATTCTATAACCATGCCCATGCACCCAGAGTATGACTACTTGCAATGCTATTGAGAATAGTACAGTAGTAAGTTGTACAATGGTGACAAATACAGTTCGTATACTGTACAAATACAATATAGATAATGGGTGTAAGATACCGATATAAGTGGATGATATAGATAGACATACAGCTTAGGATTAAACGAATATTCGAATCGTGAAGTGCAAGGGTTATTGTCAAAGACAAAGATGGTTTATCAGGAATAGAATTGGGTTGAAGAGAAACTGTTATTGATTAACGAGACTGGTACACCAGTCAGCGTGGTTAATGGCAACTCGGTTGAGGATTGCTGTGTGTGACACACGTGCTGTTGCATTTTACAGATTGACCAGAAAAAATGCGTTTGCCCTCGATTTGGAGCACCTACCAACGTCCTTCATTTCGAGTGTGCAACAGATGCCAGCTAAGATGATCACACATGGAGACAAATTTCAGGGAAGTCAATGCAGAGCAATGTATTTGAACCCCAGTAGAACGCCACAGCAGTATTTGTCATTTTGATCTGATTAATAACTGCTTATACCTCTGAATGTGCAAGGATATAATGCAGTGTGCCTTGTCTACAGGATACAGATTTTCTCTTCTCGTAGCTCTGAATATGCGGTAAAAATATACAGTGTCTCAATACAATTGTTAGCTCAAAGGTCGATTACATTCAACATGTTATTTATGAAGTGATGCTTCTGATCTATTAAATTTTTAAACAAACTTCTATATCATGAGTAGTGCAGTTAGTCGATTGATAGGTCACGTGTGGTGGGGAAAACTGTGCGTACTCCCACCTCTTCTAAGACGTGCCTAGTGTGGAAGAGTAGGCCAACTCCCCTCTAGATAGGCCCTCGTGAGCTCCCTATCGTTGAGACCCTTCCATCAGGAGTGGCGTGAGCAAGCAATTGTAAGGACTGCGGTTTTGCCTTCACATTATTTTAAGAAATATAATTTTCTTTCATGCGCCAGAAAATAATGTGCATGCAAAGACAAATAAATGTCTCCTATTTTCCCTCATAAGCTGCTGAGGAAGGTGCTGTGAGCTAGTATACTACCAACAAGGTATACAATGGGTGTTGTAGCCTGCACGTATGTTTGGTGAACTTCTTTTGCACTGTACGTAGCCAACAGTGCTTATCGGATGTGCGGGGGAAGGACAACGAACTAACACAAAAAGCAGTTCTAAAGAAATTAGTTTTCAATCTAGATTACTGAAAAGTTCATAGTTCCAGGGGCTTCCTGATATCGGAACGAAGTGCTTTCCAGACAGTCGCGAAAGCGCATCTGAAAGTGCGAGCGATGCCGTGACCGTCTTTGTTCGATGGCCAGCCAAAAGCCGTTGCCAGGATGAGTTTGTGTGATGATGGTTTATGCCTTTGCCTCCCCACTTCTGATATTCTCCTGCTGCATTATTGTTTAGTGTTATATAGGAGTGTGGTCACCATTCATGTAAATCGGACCTCTCACAATCGCTAAGGAACCACAGAGGAACTCGAAGGCGAGCAGCCAGCTGGATAAGCCGGCGCTACCAATGATTTTCCAAGCTCTAGAGTCCTCTGTATGTTGATGTGTTTTCAGCCGATAAGCGAATGTTTATACACGTTTAGGCATTTTGGTAAATGTGCACAGAGGTGGAGAAAGCCTTGTTTAAATATATATACAGGCACGTGTATGCAATTCCCGAAATAAAATATGGATCACACCAATGACATACTTCAAAAAATATGCAAGCTCACAAGGTTAAAAAAGAAGGGTTTGGTGCAAACAATAATTTCCCTCTAAATTAAGAATACTTTCGCAGTTAAAGCCCTACATGCCAGTGACTAGATATCAATTATGACTAAGATGTTATAAATACAGGAATATGCCCTGTGAGCTGAAACAAACACATTCTTAATCTAAAATAGTATTATTATTTAAAGTATGTGTTGGGTTGGGTACATTTCGAGAGCTATATTTAGCAGATTCGCTAAATAGTTAAACAACTGACAAGTAATCGACTCATAGACCGTATTTAATGAATAACCATTACTCAGAAAGGAATCCAGACGTTGTGGTCGGGATCCCTCTAGCACTGCAGTGAATGCCAGCCATCCGTCTAGCACTGCAGTCAGATACCAATCATCCATCTAGCACTACAGTCAAATGCCATCCATCCGTCTAGCACTGCAGTCAGATGCTGGCCATCCGTCTAGCACTGCAGTCAATTGCCAGCCATACATCTAAAACTGCTGTAAATTGCCAGCCATTCGTCTAGAGCTGCAGTAAGATGCCAGCCATCCATCTAGCATTGCAGCAAATGCCAGATGAGTACCGAAGCAGTGGTGACTGAGACACAAATACTCCACTGATGAAAGCAGCATTGGCAGGAATGTGTGGTATGTAAGTTCTCCCGCATCAGTAATTGGCTTGCAGCTTCACTTATGTACAACGTTATGCATTCGGCTTCAACAGCAATACACAGTGACCCTACAAGTAAGAACCAGCATTCCCAGTGGATGCCAATTATAGTTTTATTGTTTAGACAAAAAAAGGCGCTGCTATCAGAGGTGGGTCACTTGCTTCATAGTGCGCGTGTGTTCATGCCAGCTAGATGTGTACTTTCGTCTATGTTCAGTCTGCCTACCAATTAGTGCTTCCGTTCCAGTGAGAATGAGGGCTTAGTTTGGCTCGAAGTCACTGCCAGTGCACTGTGTCCCACAACTGCGTGAAAAAACAACGAGAAGTGTTCATCGTTTTCCCTCAGTGGTGGTTTACACATCCTGTGTCGGGCTGAGAAGGGCCCACTTTCAACATGAACAGTGCGTTTACATAAGCAACTACAATGCTATGTCTCGGATATTCTCTATACCTACGTTTTTGCTGTTTCCTTATAAAAGAAAGGGGTCTTTAAGTGGACCTTCGCCGAAGGCCAATGTTGGGATTTTTTTTATTGTACTATCATTGCAGTTGGCTAGGTGGTGCAGGTTGGCTACGTACGGTGTGAAAAAGTTCAACATACATACATGACAAACTAATGCCCATATGTCTGTACTCACTCAGCATGTTGCACGCCAGGTACAAAGTGAATGACTCATCTCTCCCTGTGAAATTAGTATCAAAGCTTCTACAGAGGTATCAGAAACAGCTGTAAGAAGTCATCATGTGGCAATGTTCCTCATGATGGAACCTTCCTGTCTATACAGAGTTCTCAGATGGGGTATAAGTGCCTAGTGCCTGGGATGTTGAAAACACAATTATAATGAAATAGCAAAGGGTGATAATATACATATTCTGCACTATTACTGTTACTATGCTTAATTGTCCAGGGAAGCTTCACTGAGTCTCAATACTCTTCTTCAGGATGATTCTGCCAAGTGTATCACACGTTGCTACGTGAAATAAAAATTTAATAATTTGCGGGTAATTGTCAGCATTGGCATATTATTGGCCAATATCGGTGACATTATGTGTGTGCTTTATTAGCTATGGGAGGAAACGAGAAAACCCGGGGGGAAACCCACGCATGTAAAGGTGGTTACGAATAAATGCCCCCATTCTTGTAATTTCTAGCATGATGTAAATCCCATTACAGAGGTATCAATGAAGCTAGGCTGATTTTTACATTAATAGCCCTAGCAGTAAGAACATCAACATAAACTTAGCTTCTATTATTGAGGATTACAGAGATGTGCCGAGCACCAGCAGGCTGATAATTTCTTTGCAGCGGCAAGGCTAAGGGTTACAGTCACATCTTCACAAAAATGAAATGAAACATCCCAGCCAGGTGATCACATTCCTTTGTTGGTATTGTAGATGTTGTTTACCAAAACACATACAAAGCCGGAAAATCCAATGAAGCATGAATTAGGATATAAATGATTCATGGTGAGTGTTTTGTGAGTCATATTCGTGTAGCTATAATGCCAACAGTTTAACTATAGCCCTCCACCACCCAACAAAGCCAAATAAAATCAGGTTGTCAGTTCGCCAGCAGAACTGGAGGAGTGCTAGAAAAGCAAGGAAATGTTCTGACAATTTGTTTTATGCAACATCGCTGGAGATTACATCCAGCGTCAGCAGGTGTTAACGAGAGCTTCACTCTCCATGGGATTTAAATTGTGTTGGTTCAGGGAACTTGTGACATGGTGTAAAGTTTTAGAGCTTACTTGTCTGTGATAAAATATCTGTCGAATAGAATCCAGCTCCCAGAGAATTTGCTTGAACCACAGTTCATAGGCTGCAACACATGAAGGGTAAACAATACGTTATTTTTGCTCACATTTATCACAAAAGTACCATGCATAGAATTGGATAGATTATTACAGCAATATGTGTCATGTTCTCATGATCTTTTCTAAAATTATGTTTTTGTATACAGAACACCTACTGGTCGAAATTGTTAAATAAACACAATAATAAATAAACACAACAATTGCCACGATAAATTGTTGTTTCCTTTGAGCAGAGAAAACTGATGCATTGTGGTTACAAGTAATGCATGTCAACTCAAACAAAGGGTTTGTCATTAAGTGTGATTACATAAAAAAAAACTGTAAAACAGCAATTGACGTTAATACTGAAAAAAGTGAGTTTAATAACATTCAGACTTCAGCTAGGCAAAAACAGTCATATAGTAACGTTAATGGTAGTTCTTCACGTGACAGGTGCTCGTCATAGATGGTGTTGTGATGTTGGTGGTTCACCCTGGTGGATTGTGATGAAGAGATGCTCGTCACGGATGATGTTGTGATGCTGTTGGTTCACCCTTGTGGGTGGTGATGAATAAGTGCTTGTCACAGATGGTGTTGTGATGCTGGTGGTTCACCCTGGTGGGTGGTGATGAACAGGTGCTCGTCACAGATGGTGTTATGATGCTTGTGGTTCACCCTGATGTGTGGTGATGAACAGGTGCTCATCATGGATGGTGTTGTGATGCTTGGTGCTCTCCAGGACTTGAGCATCCAGGATCTTGTGAAGCTGTGGGAACAAAGCCATAGCGCCCCAAATTACACGTTAAGACCAGCTCGCCCATTGTTAAAGGTTATGACTGTGCTCACAAAATGAATCGGGGATTTGTGCAGGCTGCGGAATGGATATCATGCAGGAGAAGTTGCAAAAAAATATCTGTAGCCTATCGTAGGCTAAATGTGTCACTATACTACATATTACACTCAATCAAGATAAAGCAGCACTGTGTGCAGCCAGGGCCACTAACGTATTATATAGCATCCTCAGACTGCTGAATAATGACCACAGCAGCTGTAAACATTTAGTTGGAACCCCGCTTTGTTTTATGATCTTATTCTTTCACATTCAGGTGGTCAAGCCAGATAACCGCGTCAGGAGCAGCGGAGTCTATTTCTGAGATGTCTTCGTTGTATTTGTGGATCAGGTATTCCGTTGTTATACATGGTATGGTCTGTTCTAGAGGACCACAATTTTTTATTTGCGTGGATGCGGTTTAGAGTCGACCATGAGGTTTGTGGAAACATCAAAACCAAGGATATGTTACATTGGGTCACCATGGTCATCACTCAGGATGATAAACGTGAATGCCCATGGTTAATGGTTACCCTTGAGGGTGTTTGGGCTGAGCCGTCAGCTGGGAGTGTTCAGGCCCGTCCATCCCCTCCCTTCCCAATGCTATAGGGGCTGCATAGCCACGAGACATCTCATAAGGAAGGGGTGGGGGGGTCTGCGAACTAGACTACTTGATTAAGGGCATAGAGAAAACATAATAATTCTCTAACTTCATATCAGACTTCCCCACTGACGCATGACAACGTTATTTTTTGTTTCATTATTTGTCTGTAGATTATATTATTTGTGGGTTCTGGGAAAACGAACAGTGCATATAGAATTTTAATAATGAGGCCCAAACTTTGTCGTTGTTTTGTATACAGAAAATGTTCATCCTGTTCTGTCTGTTGGCCATGTAATTAGCACGTGATTTTATTTATATATCTTCAGGTCCACATGTCAAAAGATATCTCAAATTTTTTAATAAAAGAGAGTATTTTGTTAAAAAAGTAGGCCCTCTTATTCATAAATGATGTCTTCCGAATTAAAGGCTCATGCATAAAAGCAATTGTAAATGGCGTGAGTTTACACTTTGGTGCCACGGTGGCGAGATGTTATCGACCTCGTCTGGTATGGAGGAGGTCGTGGATTCGATGCTGATCTTAACGCCTCTATTTTGGAGTTTGCATGTTTTCCCCCTGGTCGTGTGGATTTTTTCCAGGTCCTCCAGGTTTTCCCTCCACATTTAGAAACATGCGTTTAGAGTATTTTCCTAATGTAAATTTTCGCGTGATAAGCCACTTTGTTGAGCTATCATTATTGGCCAGTGGCTTCTGAAAAATATCGATATAGCTCATTGGGCCTTACCTGGTAAAGTAAAAATACTTTACTTCTGTTATTGAATACAGAAAATTCATATGCTGCATTTAATAATGCATTGGTCATTTAGAGGGAGCAGTGTTAAAGGTATGCCAGCTGGTATTTTGAAATGATCTGCTATGATGCGGTCCAGCTGTTATCACTGGGGCAGCTCGGGACAAAGCATCTCACTTAGAAAGCAAATTGTCGGTGTGGTCAATTGCGGGTAATCCCACCTCTTCCAAAATGTCTGGCCATCGTGGAAGAGTAGGCCAATATACTATCTGGATGGGCTCTCTAGAGCTCCCTCCCTCTAGCGGAGGGCTTTTCCACCAGCAGCAGTGTCATTGTAGGGCTGCACATTTACCTTGTGTTTTCCCATATCGTACCACGATATTATTATTACTAATAGTCTACAGTAAACAACTTGGCCTCGACATGCCCTAAGGAAGCAAAATAAAATGTGTGGACCCTACACTGATAATTTATTCAATGGAAGTTTTAATAATGCTATTTACATTTCGAGCAAGTCACTTTTCATTACAAGTCTGCATTGGCAATTAAATTGGACATCTGTGACTACTCATCGGATTCCTCCAGTTTAAATGAACATTGTGATTCTGAAATTAAAGTGAATGTTTGGCATTTCAGAGGAAATCAGGGTACCCAAAGAAAGGTGATGTATATGAGGGGATAATACTCCGAGGTCCACGTAGACTGTTGCACTAATTTGCTTTTTGTATGACAATCTCCTGGCCAACTTGTAAACCCAGCACATATGTAGTAAGTTCGAGGAGACGAGGTCGGAGTTGAGGCACACTCTGTTTATTAACTCAGTGACAGGCACAATAGTTGAAGGGGTAACGGCCCCTTCACCCGTACTATGGGAAACCCACCCTAGTACTAAGCCCTCTGTCCTGTTCCCCAGTCCTTCTCTAATGGGCTACGGGAGGCTGACTGATCTGGCCCTGGCAAGCACAGATCTCGGCACCAGCTAAGCCGGCCTTGCCCTGACAAGGGCAGAGGTCCGGGAGCTCTTGGGCCGCGCCGCTGGCTTACCCAGCTCGGCCCTGACAAGGGCAGCGAGACAGGGGAGTCCCAGGGCCTAATCTCGGAGTCTTCGATCTTCACTGGTCAGCTTCGTGTCGAACTGCCTCGAGCTCTCTGGCTCCCCGCCTTTTATAGGGATCCCCTCAGAGGGCCGGGGGCGTGGGGGATAACGGATGCGGACGTCGGTGTGACCACCCGTGTGTGTGAGTGCAGACACCCCTGTGTTTGTCGTCCGCCGTTTCTCCCGTAATAACCCCTACACATACGTAAAAAATAGCCAGATTGTTAAAGCAATTTTTTCGCACCCACATTGTTTGTAAATTTTTCAAATTTATTACAATTGTGTTGTTGGCCTTTACGCCACGAGAAGAGGAATCCATTCAGGAAAAACTACACCGAGGAATGCCCCCTATACTCTTAGTTCTTTCGGTAAAGTCACGTAGCTTCTAATCTAGAATGAATGCCCCCTGTGTTCGACAGTGGCCTGTGGAAGAGCTGATTCACAGGACTTTCCATCAAAACATCTTACAAGTAGTCTGTTTATCTTCTAAGCTTGCGGCCCACGGGCCACATGCATCCCATGGAGCTCCTCGTGGTGGCCTGGTTCCAGTTTGTCAAGGGTAATGTGTGGGGTCATGATGAGTGCACATCCACGATCTAAAGCTTGTGGCACACTGATGTGAAGGAGGGCTGCTAATATGGCCCACTAACTCGCCTGGGTTGCCCATCGCTGTTCTAAAACTTAAATTATAACAAATTATTGTAGCTCAACGAAGTGGCTTATCACGTGGAAATTTACAGCAGCCATAGACTCCAAACGCATGTTTGTAAATGTGGAAGACCCAGATAAAAATCCACGCGACCACGGGGAGAAAACATGCAAACTGCAAATATGCAGGTGTCACGGTCGGGATCGAATCCACAACCTCCCGTACACCAGACGAGCCGGTTAACATCTGGACGTGAAACAAATTCTGCACAGTACAGAGCACACTTTCCCACACGCTCTCGTATGAGATTGTCACTCAACAGACAAACTCACATTTCAAGCAAAATGTTCATTAGATCAGTAATTCAAAATGGTAATTTATTTGATATTTGAGGGAGGAGGAGGGGGGTGTAATTGTCCCTCCATAATACCAAACCAAACCTGATTAAGAGTGCCACTCATTTATCAACCCCAGAATTGTGAATCCCCTCCCTAGGATTTAAACGTGCGAACTACCATCTGCAAGGGAAAAGGCTCTGGCAAAGTTAGGCCGAGCTGGCTCCCAATTCACAATACACATCGAACAATAGCAAAGTATCTGATGGCAAATGCTCGATTACACGCACCATTTTACAATTATGAAATATGCAACATCAAACCGACTGTACATCTTTTGCTGTGCATGGGTAGTTTGGCGTCACATTTCTTCATGTTGAATGCTAGCTTTGAGTATAATTTGAACTGAAAGTTCAATGCGGGTTGTGCAACAGGCATATATTGTATAAGCTGCGAATCGGTTGCGCTATATGAACACGAGAAAAGCTTTTCATATTTGTACTGAAACTTGAACTGATTTTCACGTAGAGCAATCTTGTCTCCCTTTTCCACCAATACGTTTTCACTCACTCGTATTTTGCTTATGTAAAACTGAGCACTTTTGCAATCGTGGAACATAAATCAAGTAACTGATTCAGTAGATGTATACCCAATGTCGCGATTAAACTTAAAAATCTAAATGTATGTGTGTTGAACTTTCTTCGCACCCTATGTAGCCAACCGTGATAAATATGGAAAAGACGTGTCATTCCCCAATATAAAAAATTAACAATGTTTATTTGAGGCATTGGGAGAGGTTTTTTGTTAATTATTTATAGTAGTCTTCTTATTCAGGCCTTCTACAACCTTTGTAATGGATATATCCTTACCTGGAGGTAGTCTCCGTACACAAGACCCCCTAAGGCAGCTTTGTTAATCCCCTCTTGAGCAGCATCATTCTCCAAACCATCGTCCAAGTCCACGGGACTGATGCAGAGGAACGAGAGGGGGCAGAAAGACACACATCAGTGTTAAAACCATCACGGACTCCATCACTTTGTTTGACACAACATTTCCAGTTTTTCAATGTGTAGTTTTTCTCCAGGATTTCTAATTCTCTCCCACATTCAAAACACTGTTTGAAAATAAAATGACGAAACATGCCAATTCAGATCCCTCCCTAAAGAATATGAATACCAGAAGCTCTTTAAATAATATATGAACATATCAAAGCAATTGCTTTTCCATTGCATTTAAAGTAGTCTGTTGTCTAGCAACTCTTCCACGATACGACTAAAAATCAAATATGTTGGGATGTCATGCTGAAGCTTTCAACACAATGCATTTTTTACATACCAAAAGACCATTTATAATTGTCACTTTTCATGCCACTTTATCTCAGATGTACAAGGGGATGAAGATATGGACAGGGTGCACGCAAGTATGCGGGCGTATAACGCAAAGAGCTTTCGAGATCTGAGTACGATATTCCGGGTTCGGGTACATGCCAACTCTTTCTTTCCTCGAGCGTTCACTGCGCCCGACCGTGGGCAACTTTCGCACCTGCGAACCACTGCAGTTGCCTGCCGTTGAACTTTGCACCTGAAAGTTGACCTCAATTCCTCAAGTTGCAGACAGTTGTGCAAAGGCAGGAGTTCGAGAGAAGAATTGACCACAGCGCGGCCCCATCTGAGGGACCACACTGTTGGGTTGCCATAAACTCCAGAACCATTGCAGTGCAGTTTTTTTTCAGTTGTGATATAATTATTAGAAATAGCTATAGCTAAACACATCCATTTTTTTATTTTCAATAAAAGATTATGGTTTTTTTTTGCCTTTTAAAGGGAAATGTTCGGTCCGCAAGATGATTCGGTGCACACAGCTGTAAAGGACTTCTCTTGCAGTGTCAATCTAAATATATCAACAATTTTGAGAAACTTTTAAGCTTTTAAACTGAATACATTTTATCTACTCATGTGCACAAGTGCTGGTGATACTAACATTAACATATTGAGAGATATAAAAATGACAGACATGACTAAGCATCATATAAACTATGTATCAAACTAAATCCTGTGCAGAATTTTTACATTCACATGAACTAAATTTGAAATATATACTGTATATATGTACTCACGAATGAAATATTTGTGTCATCATTTATTGCACAGTTCTCTTTTGCAAGGTAGCTGACGATTGTGAGTGGCTTTTCGCCTGGTTCAATCAGGTGACAGCTCTTGAATAGATGAGCTTGAGGTTAAGCAGAGACAGCCATTATCCTTGTGCTCAGTGATAACTACAATGCCTCAACTATTAACTGTACCCTTCCATTAATTTATGCATGCCTACTAAATTGTATCAACTGCTGCAAAGTAAACATGAATGACCCCAAACAGCATGCAGTACAGTAACACATTTCTCAATAACACTGCCATATAATATATCTAAAATCGGTGAAATTTTTGGTAAAAGCGCCCCTTCATAGCACGTACATAATTATAATAGAATCGCCTCAAATATAATAATCTATATTTTATTAATCACATTTCATATTTAAATATCTCAAAGCGCTGTACGTAAAAAAAACTACAAGTATAGATAAAATGTAAGTGAAATCGAAAGCTGATAATAATAATATAAATGTCAACCACACTCGAAATGCCAATACAATGAAGAAGAAACCGATAAACGTGAATAATAATAATTACAGAGTCATCCAATCAGATAACAGGAAAAGCCAATGCATACAAGTTGTTTTTGGTGCTATGAAGAAGGGCAATGAACCGAAATGGTGCCTGTTATATATGCGTCATTCCTATCATAAGGGCAGCGTGATGAACGAATGTTCTTAGTTATGTGTTGTGCTTGTGCACCACTGCCAACGCAATACTGTATCACAGACGAGGATAATGATCATGTGCCAATTTCACAAATATACTACAAAAACGATGCTTCCCTCTGTTAACATTCATCCAATTGGCACCGTGGTTGGATAAACAGGCATGAACTAAAAAATATATATTTATGTAAAGGCAACTCAGTCCATAACATCTTGGGGATTGATCAATTGTTACCACTCTTTGGGCGGCTAAGACTGGTTGTGGTAGAGATAAACTGTTTACACCTGAAATCTTGACTTGAAGCTTTCGTGACTGCAGGAATTCATGTTCTTTGGGTCTTTCGGTAAAGTGACGTCGACAGGTTCAAAGAAAATAAAAATGCAAACTACGACGTTTCGATCGCAACACAAGCGGTCGTCATCAGGTGATGAAGTCACTTTAGCGAAAAACCCAAAGAATATGGTTACACCTTAACCCTTTCCCATTCCGTTGACATACGTGGTTAGAGGTAAATGTTAATTATTACGGACTTGTACGTCATCAGTTTTTCTTACGATTCCGAGACTCCCACGAAGCCATGTGGGAGGGCGTGTGGCACAGTTTGGCGCCAGCTATCACCATAGTTCTCAGCGATGAGTACAATGTCTTTAAAAACAACGGTACAATGCCTCATTCCGAGATTCAGCGGTGGACGGAACACCCACTATGCGACTTGCAGACATCTCAGAATGAGAAAGGGTTAATTATGTAAATGTAGAATATAATCCGCTGCCAGTAGAGATGAGCACAGCTCCAGTGCTCACTTAAGCATTGATACACATTGACACTGACATAACTGGGAATAGCCAGGTCTCGGCAAAATATAGCGATTGTAATTTGGATAAAGTCCTAGAGCATTAACTACTTTAAACACTTCCATTGCAACAGCCAAGGTGAAAAAAAATGTGCAGCCTTTGTTCAATCCACTTTTGGATGAAGGGCTCCTTAAGGCATGTTGTTTGTGGGGGCTCTCTGGCCATACTTCCCGACATTGGTCAGTATGAGTTGGTGAAGGTTCAGCTACAATTCACCAGTAATGTTAGCCAAATCGAACTCAAACTGTTGGGTTATGAGTACACTGCAATAACGACTGTGTCACCACTCTACCCCAAGCGAGCAGGGTATTGCCATGTATACGTGTGTTTCTAGGCACCTGGAAAATTGGTCTCTGAAAGGTCATGATTGTTGTCTGATTATAATTAATGTAATGCATGGTGTGCATTGAAACAAGAATGCACAATTGGCTGTGCACTGGCTTCAAGTTACAATTGGAAGTTACGCAAGACTCCGGGGTGATATCAGAGTGCTGTGTCAAAGTGATGTATCCAAGTCGAGGTGTATTGGCGAGTGTACACTTGGCGTTGATCCAACCTTGTGATAGACAAGTCTTTGGTTGTAAAATACACTCCAATTTCATGTCACCAATAGCTGGTTAATGATTGAGCTGGGCAAGGGACGGTGATAATGGAAAAACTGATCCATTCGTCTTTAGTCCCCCCCCTCCCCGTCCAATGGCAGGTGTTTTTTCTGCAAAATTTTGCTGTATTTTCTTGGATTTTCTGTTTGCACTTAGTCACATATTCACTTTAAGATGTTTTCTTGTTCATGTTTTTTGTTTGTTGCGGTTGCACCCGATTCAAGAGCCGAATGGCTCACAGGGCTATACCTAATAAATGCACTTGAACTTTAAGTTTGACATCTTACAAAGGACAAAGCAGATCATAGGAAAAAATAAGGATTGATTTTACCCTTTCTGGCAATAAAACAGGCAATAAGATGTTTAAACACCAAATATAAACTTTTTTTCAAGGAATCACGTCTGAAATAACCACACGTACTTGTGGTGAACATGCAAACAAAAACATGCTCTGATAATATACACCATGTCTTTGAAACTGATTGGTATACAACAGAGACAGCCTTCTTTAGGGCCTAGTCTTATCAGTGTTCGCCAAAAGGCGAACAGATAATATAACTTTTCTCATCTATTTTCAAGCTTCACCAAGTTGAATCTATCTCAGTGTATACGTCGTCTGAATGACAATGTGATTCACTAGTTTTATAATGGCGAGTTTCCGTTATGTAGGTGTGCTTTCTTAAACGTCATTGTGTGTAGAGATACAATTATGTGGGAAGTGTAAGCTGAAATGTTTGTTGTACAACAAATACGATTAACTAAATAATATAATGATATGGATGGTGAACTTCTTTCGCACCATAACGTAGCCAACCGTGCCATTTGTTATTGACCACCCTTCCTGTCATTGATGTGCATCTGATCAAATGGCACCAGCACAAAGCATTTGACTCACAGTCAGAGGAACTTGAGTGCTATTCCCAATCGTGGATGTACTGAATCCATTACCCCCCTGGAGTCACTAAAAACGAACAATGCTTTATGGAACTAAGTCAACAGCAGTCTGCAATAAAACTGACTCCTGCCATGGAAATGAAGAGTTTCCAACACAGTAGCTGTCGTAAGAGAGACTACAATTGAAATCCAAAGACGCATTGACTAAGTAGGAAACTTGTGAGGTAAACAATAAATAATTGTCACGATGCTGCTACCTTTCCCCTTGCACTGCTGTACTTCTTCCTCGACCGCCCAAGCCTCGTGCTAATTCAATTATTTAACAGTTGTGAATGTCCAATTAATGGACATTTTGGACACTGTCCCCAGGTGGTTTGCTCGTTAGTTTAGATGTAGTTTCTTTTTCACCAAAGTTCCTGTGCCCGATACCATTGCAATCATTGATGATTTGGTTCAATAAGGATTGAATGCTGATGTACCGGCCCTGGTGAGACACTGCCTCACCAATACATACTTCACCTGGAATGGAACATTCAACAAACATACTGAAGGCACTCCAATGGGTTCTCCCTTATCTCTGGTTGTAGCCAACATTTTCATGGAAACATTTTAAATCAGACGCCATCCAGGCATCCGCTCTGCGCCCATCCTTGTGGAAGAGGTACATGGCTGACACATTTTTCATCTGGCCACATGGTCGACCGGCTCAGAATTAATTCCTCAACTACATCAATTCCATACACCCAGCCATAAAATTCACCATGGAGGTAGAAAATTATGGCATGCTACCTTTCTTG